TGCCGACTCGGTGAAAGGGCCCACTGCTCTATTTGGGTTGAATTCTCTGCTTTTTCTCATTGTAGTTAGTCAGTGACAAGCACCGGATGAGTTTCCCTGAGACAGTAGATGAGATCCTGGATGTCTCTGAAGATGAAGGTAAAGTCTGGGAATTAACAGAAGTCCGGGTAAAGTCGGGGGACACTTGGGGCTCTGAGCACCCCCTGAGTGCTTCCTGTCAGCTGCCATTGTTGTACTCAAAGGTCCTTATAGCACAACCAAGCTCTGCGGGTCTGAATTAAAGCCAGAGAGAATTGCTTTTCAAACATGTTGTCTGTTATCAAAAATACTCCTTTAATGTAATTTTAGGAGAAGGAAAATCTCTATCTCAGAGATTAAAATACAAAAATCTTATGATGTTTCATAAATATATGTGTTTGCATATATTCTGCATAGAATATGATTCATTCTACTTAGATCAGTTCTCAGAGCTATAAAGAACTGTCATATAATTCTGCCTGATGCTTTCCTTCTGCTTTGAACGAATAACAAGCTATTTACTTAAAATTTGTATGAATTCCTTTTAATAAGCTGCTCTTCTGACCACATAATGGGTCACTGAGTTTTGGGGCATATCCATTATTATGAAATGACTATAGTTTTAATTAACTTCAATGAACCACAGAGTGCTGGTAGTAGTTTTCCTGCCCCTGATAAGCCTATCTTCTCACTTAAGTTTAAAGGGAACTCTTGGGGTGTAAATGGTGCGGTTGGACTGGGTTATCTCTCTGGCCCTTGGTTTAATAACTTTGTCAAATAGATGATTAAAGCTCTCCTTGTGTCCCCTTTGGTAATATGCTTCTTGCTTTAACTGACTTCAGTCCTGTCCTTTCTTAAACTTGACTCTTCTTTGCTTTCCAGGAACTGCTCATATAACTATAATGGGTATGAAACACTTTCTGTTCCCTGTGGTCCTTTCTCACAAGTGCATTTCACCCTAAGCAATCCAAGCTCTCACTAATCCATTCCTGCTTTCCACCCTCCTCTGACGGCTAACAATCTGGAGCCAGAAGCTTGACTAAAACAGGAAATTTACACCCATAAGATCCATGCCCTGGCGGGTAGCTCCTGCCTGTCCATCTCTGTGTCTGTGCCCATGCCACTGTGTTTGTGATTATAACTGCATGAGCTGTTGTTATTCCATTCTGTCAGCTCCAGATCACAAATCCAGGACACTCACTGCTAAGTGACAGTAAATGACACTGCAAGGTCAAGGGCTCTCCAACTCCAGTTCAAGGCAAGGAGAAAGAAACAAAGAGGCAGTCTGAGTGGCAGGCATAGTTTGAACCTCTTGGTAATGGGCTTAGGAAATAATGAAGTTCTACCTGCCATGGTTACAAAAAAACCCTACAACCCTTTAAAATGAACGGGTTCAGTGCCTTTGTAGCTTTTTTTCTTTCTTTCTTTTTTTGTAGTGTGTGGTGTGGAAAAGAATGGAAACTATCCTTTCTTTGGTGTCACTGCACAACCCTTAAGGGCTGTTTGGAAGTGGAACTTGTCAAGCAAATACAGTTCTTTCTGGTTGTATTTTTCTTCTTCTTCTACAAAGCCTGGTACAGACTAAGATATTAGGAGCTGGTTGCCCTGCTCTATATACCAGGACTAGAGGAACAGGGCTAGTCGAAGACATTGCTAAGGTTCCCCCTTGAGCATCAGAGACCTTCCTCCACTCCTCAGCATTGAGAGGACCAGGCAAAGCACTTTTTAAAGAGAAAGAGGATATCTCCATCCTGTCACTCACTTAAACTTGTGTGGTTTCAGGGGAAGAACTTGTTGGCTCCAAGGCTGAGAAGCAGGAATCCAGGGATATAGATGAAGAGAAAGAGCTGCTGGATTTTGTGCCGAAGCTAGACCAAGTGTAAGAAGTCCTCACACCGTGAATGGCTGAGGTCCAGCCCTGGAACTCAGAGTAGGAGGATTCCAGAGCCAGGAAAAGTCACAAGAAGGCCAGGCCTGTGTGTGCCACTGACAAGGATAGAATGCTGCTTGGTTGGACTGTGCATCCAGCACTTTAGGATAAATTAGCTCTGTCCTTGACAGCCAAGCAGGGGCATGGAGACCTTCCTTACAGCATGCTGTCTGGGAGTGTCTCCCTTCCTCTTCCGGTATCCTTGCCTCCCAACTTTCTTCCTCGCCTCATTCACAGTCTCATATGCACACCCCTCTCCCTTCCATGTACACTCAGCTTCTCACCAGGGAAATCCACTGAGGAAAATACACATTAGAAACTGTTGCCACACTAAGCTCAGTCACTGACCACGTCCCTCTGTCAGTGCAGCCCATTAGAGGAAACCCACAGAGGGTCTG